AAATACATGTATATTCAACTTACAGTCATACTCTACTGTGAAGAGCAGCAAAACCTTACATTTAAGAAGTTGGAGACAGTTTTTTTTTTTTTTGCAACATAAATATTTACCATCGGCAATTAAATAATGCACCGAAAACATAATTAACAATGAAAATACTTGCGAGTTGAAACTCTAATAAAAGTTATAATCTTTCACATGTTCCATAAGTCCAGAGCTGTACATTCTGCTGTGTAGATTCACACACTGTACAGCCTGTTCTTGTCTCACGGGGACAGATGTTGGTGAGGAGTGTGTGTGTGTGTGTGTCCTGCAGCCTCCTGCTCCGTCAGCTCAGCTGGCCTCTGCCGGCTGGGCTCAGGCTGCGGGACGCTCTCGTTCCCCCGGAGAGGCTGCAGGCTCTGCTGATGCTACAGGAAACACGGCTGTGGGACGTCAGGCGCAGCTTGAGCTCAATGTGATGCCTTAGAACAAATACATCAGTGTTTTCAGCCTGGGACAGCATTTTTTTATGTTGTTGTGCTTTTTGTTTCTTTCGCAAGTATCTGTTTTAGTTGCCCCACTGGGGGCAGAGGGGAGGGACAGACATCACTGGACAGATAGGTGAAACATTTGTATGATTGGTATTAAATCCCGAGGTAAACAGTTTATCATGACTTAGCACACAGCTCAAATATATCAGCCTCCGTCGGCCTATATGAAAATAATGAATTGTGTGTGTATAGCTTCATTTTGAAAGGCTATGTGCTTACACAATGCGTTATGTTCCCAGGGGTCTTTGGTCAACATTTTGATATTACTCTGAATGACAGACCTTGTAAGAAATGTGCGTCAGAGAAGAGGGAAATAAAATACAAGATCTTCCACCTTTGAACACGGGGCTCGTCTCACGGCGAGTATTTCTGTGTTTGTGACATCAGTAGCTGCAGTTTGCTTGTCGAGGTCTGCAGTTGGCTCATTCTCTGTGTCAGTGTCTTCAGGCTGCACTTGGTTTGGCAGTGAGTGCTGTGAAAGGGTCCTTGCACCGCGAGGACAGGCCCACGCAGGCTAGTCGCTTCTCATCATGTTTCATCGGGATGAACTGCTGACGATATGGCATGCACAATATACTGTTGGTTATATTTATGTATTTCCATTACTAGCTTCTCTATCCCAATTAGAAAATCCACTTTCTTTTATTCCATTTGCAGATTATTTATGTTGGTTCTCTTGTCTGCTGTTTTTGTTGATTTGCATTTGTACCTGCATTTAACTGAATCTCGTAACTCTCTGTTTGTGTTTGGTTGCTACATGTCGCTCAAATGACTCACTAAATACATAAAGTGTTGTACGATGATTATGAATGAACCTTACATGGAGACTTCTTTTAGAGTTCACAGCAAGAAGTTAGCTTAGATAAAAATGTAACTTTGAATTAATGTTAGAATAACATCTGCTATCATTAAATCCTGTGGTAGTTCTGTTGCTTTCATACCACAACAAACAAGACGAAATTAGTTTGACGCAGACATGTTATGTGTGCTCTGTATACAGATATTCAATTGTAATGAATAATGATACTGTTATTGTGTGTCGGTGCACACGTGAGATGCTTCCCTTGAAGCGTCTGAGCGGATAGCCTTGAACGTAGTTTCCCCGTAACTCTGTTCCTTGGTGTAAACGTCAGAAAGATATAGACGGCATATTTCTGACCTGGTCCATGTTAAATCACAAGAAGCCCATAAAGCTCACTGCCTCAGGCTGCAGTGTGTCCACGTTCTGTTTATTGGCCGGCGTCCTGTTTACCCACCCTGTCTGCTACCTGACAGAATTACACTCTCAGCTCCACGAAGGTTATGCCAAACTGTCCTTGTTAAAATCACTAGCAGCACATTGAGTTATTGTGGGCTCTGCTGGGGTTTGCATTCCTTATCTAACGATAAACAGATTAAATAGATCCCACTTTAATTATAAGCCCAATAGTACATTGGCTTGCAATCTGTATGTCCTCCAGTAAGCAGATGAGTTGCAAGTGTAGTTTGTTTTTGTGTTTTATATTGCTGCGTGAAATAACTGAACGCTAGACTGTCTAAGGTTTCTCGTTCCAGTAGGCTTTTTATTTTTAACATGTGACACTGCATATTGTTTTGTTTGCCTCTTCATCTGGGCTGGCAGTTTGAAGCCATTAACGCTTTTTCAGTCTTGAACGAGCTGCTGGAAATAAGGAAAGTTTGAGGGATTTTAAGCCATTTTGGAGGTATTGTTCATTGATGGTCTATTGTTTTATTCATTTATGAACTCGTAAATATCTACCAGAGCTGCCAACCTGACAGGAGAAGAAAAAAGGAACGACAGCAGGTTGGCATTAATTTTAGATTTATAATCCCCCTGCCATGACCCCCATTTCCTGCATTGATGTCCTGGGGAAATGTCATGTCAGATTCATGTTGGTTCGATGTGATGGACAAGAGAGAGACGCCTCCACGCACAACACCGAAACACACTCTTGTACTCATGACAACATAAACTTCCCTGTCAGTCTTTGTTTGTTTGTTTTTGTTTTGTCACATCCTCGAGAGGACCAGTGAATCAGTTTCCAATCTAATTCCTTTCCCGCTGTGGCTTTTTCTCAGTTTCTGCTATAAATGTCATCACGGAAAATCTCCATCTGTAGGATACTCAAAGGACGGTTTATGCTTCTAGAAAGATTAAAAAGGATTATGTAATTGCACGTTATGGAGGAGGTTCGGGGCCTTAAAGTAGATACAGATGAATCAACCAAGGTTGTTTTTGTTGCTCTTTTGTACATTTATAATGTTTTTAATTGGTGTGTTTTTAAAATCTGGAGTTGATCATCTTTTTTTCCAGCTTTTGAGGTCTTCTTTTACTCAGTGTTAGTCTTTTGAGCACCCTTTAGCCATAACAAAGGCTGAATAAACTTGAATGAATTACTGAAATATTGGAAATACAGCTTTGCCTGCCTAAATTCAGCTTAACAAATTACACTTGATATATTGAGTATTGAGGTTATTACAAACTGTAATGGAGAGAATGATACCATACCTCCAGACAATGTAAATCCCCCAAAGATCTGCAGAGTATTTTTGGGTTCCCGTTGATGCGTCCATCCATTGGCGTGACAGCAGCCCCCGTTCAGGCTGCCCCCCCCCCCCTGGCCGGTCCGTCAGACGGTGTGCAGCAGGAGAGTGGAGGAGCATGTTTTCTATGCCAGTCTGTCAGTGTTGGTCTATCTCAGTGTGTGGGAGCGGCCTTTGACCTGCTGCAGAGAGGCGTGTAGTGATGAGGCGGAGAGCCTGCTGAGCCTGCCGCACTCCTATCATTAGCATGTAGAGTCACGCTCCCCCTCTGCACCAACCATTGTTTTCCACTGTTTCTGTCCTTGAGAGGAAACGTGCTTCGCCCTCAACAGACCACATTTGCTCCTTCTGAATTATGCAGCTAAGGATTCAAGTTTGACTGTTTTTGTTCCTATAAAGAAGAGATAGTTAAACTCTTGTGTATTTTTCCTGTCAATAAAGCTCAATTCTGGCCTTTATTTCAGCCTCGTAGCTGAGGGATGTTTTTTTTCTATTATCCCCGCTAAGCTGACAGCTCCATTTGGTGGATTTTTGCCGCAGTCGGTGTTCAGGGGAGTGACACAGTGTGACACACAGGTTACATGAGCAGCGAGCAGCAGCAGGGGATGCCTAACAAGGGTTTGATATAAATTAGGCTTGTCCCAAGTTATTCCCTTTTGTCTCAATTTCCCATAAGGAAAGGATAAGGACGCCGTTCTTTGTAGAAATCAAATATTGTCTTTTTACAGGCTTTTGTCGGATGTCTGAGTAATTTGCAGCTGCTCTGTATAACCGTTAGTATTTTAGCTTAAAAAAATGGTGTTTTACATCTTTGGAAACTGACCAGATAAACTTTGAATATAACGTATTTTCTTCCTTTCCATTTTAACGTCTATGTTGTTCTTGTTCTGTCTGGTTTCTCAGCCTACCACTTTTATTCGTGTACAGAAATCAGTTTTTCTTTTAGTTTTTTTCAAAATCATATTTTATATAGTGATTCGGCTGCACTATTTCTTACTGCTCTTAATATTTTTCATCTTTCTAAAGCATTTTGACTTGCCTTGTGTTGAATTTTGCTATACAAATAAACTTGCCTTGATGCTGCAGTGGTTCTGATTCAGTCACTTTGACAAAGGTCAGGTCTGTAATGCAATGTAATCCAGTTTCCTTTTGTCTTTTTTTATTGTAATAAGAGAGGTCATTTATTTCCCTACACACCTGGTGATGATTACTTTCATGCTCTATAATGTTATCATTTCACATGACATGTGTCCCATTAAAAATTCAAGTGAGTGAGACACTGACTTTGAAACTTTGCCATTTCATTCCTCATTATTTACTTAGTAAGAACACATGGACCTAGTGCAGATTAACAAAGTGCAGAGCTGTTCCCTGAGTCTCGTACTTGTACATTTGTATAAACAAGTCTCTACTTAAGGGAATCTGCTGAACCACTTCCGTCCTAAAACCTAAATCAGAGTGTGCCGGTGTGGTTGGCACATGGGACCTGCACTAAAACTGGGCACCATTCGTGACGGCAGCACCCCCCCCCCCCCCATCCTCCCCCCACCCTCCCCCCTGAGCCTGGATCAGCCCTGGGGAGGCTCGGAGGTGGCTGGTGGCTGAGTGCTGCAGGTTGCCAGCGTGTGCCTGACGAGAGATGAGACCCAGTTTTCTCTAACACAGCCAAACATCTCCGGAGATTTTATTTTATCTCTTTCATATCTCACGCTCCATCTGCCTTGCTTGTTTTGTAGCTGAGACTTAAGTCTTTGCTGCCATTTATCAGAGCAAAGAGAGCTGTTTCACAAATAATACATCTTGAATAAACAGAATATAATTGGTTAATCTAATGGTTTTTAGAGGTAATTAATTTGTATTCTGCTGTTCTCTAACATTGAGCTCCAGTCCCTGGTTACTGACCTGTTGTTTGTTGTGCTGCAGAGGGAGATGAAGGAGCAGCTGGCCACCCTGCAGGACAGTGAGAAGGGACACACTGAGGCCCTGCAGCTCCTGCAAAGACAACTCACTGAGACCAAGGTACTGAAACATATCTGCTTTTTAAAAACAAAGAATTCCCATTTTTAGATATATGCTCCAGCAGCAATCATTCAGCTGCATATGGCTGCAACTAAAATAGTTTGCACTATCTTGTTTATTGAAATGTCAGAAATAGTGAAAGATTGCTATTATGGTTTCCCCAAGACTAAGGCGAAGTCATGCTTTATCCCACCAACAGATCAAAGTATTCAGTAAAACCGAAAAGCAGCAAATACAGTCTACAGCTGAAACATCAATGAATCGCTATCAACAAAATTGGTTATTTTCTAGTATTATGTCACTTTATAAGCAGAAATACTTCCAAGTTCAAACTGTTTAATTGTGAACGCTGTTGTATTTTTCACTTAATTAATATTAAAAAGAAAATATTTGTAACCCTCGAACCTCCTGGTGGACACCGGTGGTCAGGGAAGCCGCCTGACTGAAGAAGGAGGCCTTCAGGGATATGTTATCCCGGGGGAGTCCCGAGGCAGTTGCAAGGTACCGACAGGCCCGAAGGGCAGCAGCCTCAGCCATGGCCGAGGCAAAGCAGCGGGTGTAGGAAAAGTTCGGAGAAGCCATGGAAAAGGACTTTCGGGCGGCACCAAAGTTGTTCTGGAAAACTGCACCTCAGGAGGGGGAAGCAGGGAACCATCCAAGCTGTGTACAGTAAGGATGGGACGCTGTTGACCTCAACTGATGGAGTGTTAGGGCGTTGGAAGGAACACTTTGAGGAACTCCTGAACCCGACAAGTCCGCCCTCTATGGTAGAGGCAGAGCTGGAGTATGACGGGGGATCAACACCAATCTCCCGGGGGGAGGTCACTGAGGTAGTCAAACAACTCCACAGTGGCAAAGCCCCGGGGGTGGATGAGATCTGCCCAGAAATGCTGAAGGCTCAGGGTGTTGAGGGACTGTCATGGTTGACACGTCTCATCAACGTTGCGTGGAAGTCGGAAACAGTACAGAAGGAGTGGCAGACCGGGGTGGTGGTTCCCCTTTTCAAAATGGGGGATCAGGGGGTGTGTGCCAATTATAGAGGCATCACACTACTCAGCCTCAGCGGGAATGTTTACTCTAATGGCGCGTTTCCACTACAGCGCGGAGCACGGTTTAAGAGGGCTGTGATGTCAGCGGCCCGTTTTTGGTTGCGTTTCCACTTGGCCTAGTACCGGCCGGCGGGTCCTAATTCACAGTTTTTCTGGCCTCATAAAATCGTGGGTCTAGGGCCAGAGACAACGAGGCTGAGTCGGGCTGAGTATGCTAAACTAGAGAGAGAATCGCTGGCAAGGGGGCTACAACTACAACAAGATGGACATATTTGACCGTGATTTAATTGTAATACACGTTTCAAAATGATGCCGAAGTAACAACATACTGATACCGGTTAGTAAAAACCATGAATTAATGCTTTGACAAGTCTGCAGACAGACGGCAGGCGAAAACCTTTTAAAATGCGTGTTTTCTAAATGGAGATTGGCTAAGCTAACGCAGTATATGCTCCGACCGTCCACACTCACAACAACGGCCTATACAGACATAAATAAAGCAGCGACTGTATTCACCATGACACAGGCAGTCTGTGGTTTGTACTTGTTTAACTTTTGTCTAGTTTCTGAACATATATGAGGAGCTGTGAGCTCTGAGTGCTAACAGCTAACGGCTGTGTTGGTTTTCTGGGGTTCTCCTTGAATATGACGTCACGGCTCCGCCTACACTGCGTTACTATAGATACTACCCCAGTTCCTAAACTGTAATGGAAATGCGCCATAAAGTGAGCCAGTCCTAACGAGGCCTAGCCATACCGAGCGAGGCCGAGCGAGGCCGTGTAGTGGAAATGCGCCATAAGGTACTCGAAAGGAGGGTCAGGCCGATTGTCGAACCTCAGATTGAGGAGGAGCAATGCAGATTCCGTCCTGGTCGTGGAACGACGGACCAGCTTTTTACTCTCGCAAGGATCCTGGAGCGGGCCTGGGAGTACACTTATCCGGTCTACATGTGTTTTGTAGACTTGGAGAAGGCGTATGACCGGGTTCCCAGGGAGTTACTGTGGGAGGTGCTGCAGGAGTATGGGGTGAGGGGGTCTCTACTCAGGGCCATCCAATCTCTGCACTCCCAAAGCGAGAGCTGTGTCCGGGTCCTCAGCAGTAAGTCGGACCCATTTCCGGTGAGGGTTGGCCTCCGCCAGGGCTGCGCTTTGTCACCAACCCTGTTTGTAATATTCATGGTTAGGATTTCGAGGCGTAGTCGTGGGGGAGGGGGTCTGCAGTTCGGTGGACTAAGGATTGCACCACTGCTTTTTGCAGATGATGTGGTTCTAATGGCTTCATCGGTCTGCGACCTTCAGCACTCACTGGATCGGTTCGCAACCGAGTGTGAAGCGGCTGGGATGAGGATCAGCACCTCCAAATATGAGGCTCATGGTTCTCAGCAGGAAACCGATGGACTGTCCACTCCAAGTAGGGAATGAGTCCTTACCCCAAGTGAAGGAGTTCCAGTATCTCGGGGTCTTGTTCTCGAGTGAGGGAACAATGGAGCGTGAGATGGGCCGGAGAATCGGAGCAGCGGGAGCGGTACTGCAGTCGCTTTACTGCACCGTTGTGACGAAAAGAGAGCTGAGCCAGAAGGCAAAGCTCTCTGTCTACCGGGCCATTTTCGTTCCTCCCCTCACCTATGGTCATGAAGGATGGGTCATGACCGAAAGAACGAGATTGCGGATACAAGCGCCCGAGATGGGTTTTCTCCGCAGGGTGGCTGGCGTCTCCCTTAGGGATAAGGTGAGAAGTTCAGTCATCCGGGAGGGACTCGGAGTTTAACCGCTCCTCCTTCGCGTCGAAAGGAGCCAGTTGAGGTGGTTCGGGCACCTAGTAAGGATGCCACCTGGAACACCTCCCTAGGGAGGTGTTCCAGGCACGTCCAGCTGGGAGGAGACCGAGGGGTAGACCTAGGACCAGGTGGAGGGATTATATCTCTTCGCTGGCCTGGGAGCGCCTTGGGATCCCCCAGTCAGAGCTGGTTGATATGTCCAGGGAAAGGAAAGTGTGGGGCTCTCTGCTGGAACTGCTACCTCCGCGACCCGACCACGGATAAGCGGGAGAAGATGGATGGATGGATGGATGGGTTTCGGACAAAATAATAAAAAAATTAAATAAAATTAATCAAGAAACAAGAAAATAATTGGTAAAACTTATTTTGATTCATTTTGAATTATCAAGTAATTCATTCTACACCAACAAATGGCATCGGAAGTCAGTTGTGACCGACTGTAATTATATTTACTCAAACCAGACATCCATCTATGCATCTTAAAAATCCCAATGAGACCATAATACTTAGTAATAAAATAAATATCTCAACGAGCAGGGAATAAGGGCCAGGTCTGTTTAGCGTCTCAGGCACTGATTATCCCTCTCTTCCTCCAGACTGATTTGGACTGACTTAAATGAAATTCCGACATGTAAAATTGGTTTATCGAGCGGCTGTTTGATCTCGACACCTTGTTTTAATCGGAGAGCATCCTCTTGATGTGCGACTCCCTCACTTCTTTACACACCCGCACGTCTCTTCTCCCTCCTGTAGTGACATTGAAGCTATTGACCAGGGAAGGGTCTCTAGCAGAGACGATTTCACAGCCGTCAGAGTTACCTGTCATTTAGAAAGCACTCTCCTTTTTTTCTCCTGTTGTTGTTGTGCCTGCTCACAGCACTGCTTGTCTTTCCTCTGCCAGGGAGAGCCAGGCTGTCCGTTTCAGCACATCCATCCACTCACTCTGACTGCTAGATGTAGGCCTTTCAGCCGCCTCCCCCCCCTCATTGGGAATGAGTTAATCTCATTAGATTTACATCCATTTGCACAGAGTGCTCTGCCTGGAATAGAGCCACAGTGAGACTACATTGATCTGTGACACATTATGGCAGCTAACAATCAAACATGTCCCTGAACAAGTAGCCTGTTATTTTTCTTCTTTTATTTAACTTATTCTTTTGTTGTTAAACACCATTTTAATACATTCTTCTTTGTCTAAACCTACATAACCCACAATGCAATTCCACTGCCGACATGCAGGTGTATTTAATTAGCATGGACTAACTTAGCCTCGAGCCTTTAGCCTGAAGCAGAGACAAGGAGCTTCACTGGTCCTTTGAGCCTCTTTCTTTTTCACTCCACTCCTCCAGATTTTTCAAATGTTCAAACTGTAGTCTTCAGACCTAACTGACACCGACTGAAGTGACACATGAGTCAATTCATCAGATTTTGCACAGCTCCCTCTAGAGCCACAAAAGCTTTCTTAATTCGGCTTTTTCACACATGCAGCAGTACTCTCCAAGATCTATAAAAACGACTTTGATGTTTGAATTTCCTTAAATATTGGACCGGGGTTGTATCTTAGTTTCTGAGAAAGGAATCCTTGCAGCAGCCCGGCTCTCATTAAAACTGAATGTGTCCGCCTCGCACTCTAATTTGAGTCCTTGGCTGGCGTGGGGGTCTGTCTGAAGGATCGGCATTGTGTCTTATTCACATGCCCACCGGGGAATCGCTTGATAATCACATGCTTCCATGAAAGGTAGCCAGCCTCCTGTCTCCCAGGGCTGCAGACCCCCTCTCAGTGCCATCACAGCAGCATACACGTCACTGAGAGACGGATAGCCCGCCGCCTCTTCCTCCTCCACACTGTCAGTTTGCTCTTTACTAGGTAGGAGGGCCGGGATACAGCCCACCTAAATGTCATGGCTCTCATACTTGGAGAGAAAGAGTCTTCTGAGAAGTTTCCCACAGGCAGAGTGAGAATACCTGCCTCTAGGTTCTGAGAACAGCATGAAGCCACCTGCTGTTTGACGGGGATTTATTTAACTTTTAGGCAAGTGTAATTAAACCTTAGATCACAGTTCTTGAATCCTGAAAAGATCATAGGCGTGATAGAGATTCCCAACAGAGAAAACATACTAGGTTCATCAAACAATTATGTTCAATTGCACTGTGATTCATTCATGTTCTCTTTTTCTAAGTTGCTCTTTGATGGGCAGATTTAATTATGGATCAACACAACTCCAACTTTTTCAGAAAAAGCAATGACAGGCGAGAAAACTTCTAACAAAACGTCTAAATGAAGTCCAGTTTTTGCTTCCCAACAGTTTCTAATTGAAAGGCTCCTGAAACTCTTTGTGTGACTTTTATAGAGTTCTCACGTCACACCCTTTGTTCTGTCTCTCTGACGCACACATGATTCATTCTCTCTGATGTCCAGCCCTCCATTTTTCTCTCTTCAGCAACAAAAAAAGTTTCTTCAACGCCTGCAAAGTGCTCGACTCCGTCTGTAATATCTTCAGCTCTCCTCAGCCTGTCCAACAGTCTTGTAATGAGCCGTCTTCACGTTACAGTGTTTGTTTCTCATTAGTAAAACAGTGTAAAAGCTTCTAAACTGTTCCGACAAAGCCACTTAAAATCAATACATTTACAAGCTGAATCAATTAATGGATATTCGCTTAATATTAACACAATTTATAGGGCTTTGTAAGCACTTGAATTACTGACTCTTGTGTCATTGAGTCAGGCTTTTGTAACGGAAACACTCAACAAACCCAGCTAACTACGGTACTATCTATTTCACGGCCTGTATTAACTGACTGAGGGTGTTTTCAATTCATTTAAAGGGGACCTATCATGCAAAATGCACTTTTTGATGTCTTTTATACATGAATATGTGTCCCCGTGTGTCAGGGAACTCACAAAGTGTCAGAAAACAAAACCCTCTCTCTTTTCCTCCGTACCCAAATCTCTAAAAACGGGGCTACAACGGAGCTGATCCAGATTTGCGTCCAATATGACGTAATATCGGAAATGTGGACCCACGGCACTCTCAGAAAGTTGCTATCAGAAACAATGCCCTGTTTTGGATGTAATATGGTCTTTGTTTACCATAGCCAGCATCGCTAACACTCAGAGCTAGCTTGTACTGGAGAGAGTATGTGTAAAAAAGCAGGAAATAAAAGCAGGAACTCACCTTGTGGTAAACCCGCAAGAGAAAAAGCATTTGACCTCCATACCGTTTCAGAAATAATCCTTGATGTGGTTTGGAACATGATATGGCATTTAATCACGGCAGCATTTAGCTGAGTATCTCGTAGAACTCTAAGCAGGCACAAGCTCCCCCTCCTCTTTTCTTTTTTTTCAAGCTAAGGACCCAGGTCAGCCATTCTCTAACAGGGCTGAGACAGAGGGATATGAGGGATGTCTAAAATGCATGATCTGTTTGGTATTTTGAGCAAAACACTTCATAGACATGTTTTTTATATATTTGTATTTATCTGAGACCCATAATATATGCCTAAAAATAGCGTAATAGGAGACCTTTAAGTAAACCACCCTTTTTTTTTCAGTCCTCAGCCAAGAGTCTGCGTGCAACCATCGGCGACGCATTTGAACGCCTCCACCGCTTCCTGCGCGAGCGTCAGAAGAGCATGCTGGAGGAGCTGGAGATGGACACGGCCCGCAAGCTGGCCGACATCGAGCACAAGATCCAGCGCTACAGCCAGCAGCTGCGCGACGTCAAGGAGGGCATCCAGATCCTGCAGGAGCGCCTCAACGAGACGGGGCGACACGACTTCCTGGAGGGAGTCGCCGTCACATCTGAGAGGTGCTTCACCTGCCCTGAGTTTGATAGAGCAGTCCCAGTGTCATCACTGCAGACCGATAAGAACAAAAATGTGGTTGTAAACACATTCGCTCCAAGAAGGTTTTTATCAACTCTTAAAGTCTCGTGTGAACAGTTAAAGTTAAATATTTGCTGTTACATTTGTTATGATACCCCCCCCCCCCCTCACACACACACACACACACCTACAGCATGCCAATTGTGTGTTCTGCCAGTGTGAAACGTGAGGCTGCTTACATTTTGGAGAAAGTCAGAATATCCCTGAACAGATGGCATATTAGGCCTGAAATACACCAGCTGTAGTGTTTAATCTGCGAGGGGCACTTGAGGATGATTTAATTAAAGGGTTAAGTATATTTGAGCGAATTAATGAGTTTTACAGAATACCACAATATCTTTAAAGTAACAATATCAACAAGTTTTTGTTTTATTTAATATTACTTATCCTAGCAGAATGATATCATTTAAGCAACTGTACGTAAATATGGTGGACAAACAGCTATGATATTCAATCGGCTCAAAACATGTTGGATTTTTTTTTCACCGTTTCATTAAGTCACACTTTAGTAACAAAGACCCCACAAACTATGCATGAGTAATACTTATTTTAATGTTCATTTTTTTTCATTTCTTATGTCTTACAATGCACCACAAATAACGTTTCGGCATATATATATATACACATATATCCAATATATCCCTTTTTCAATACACTGCGCTGTTGTTTTCAGGATTTTTCATGTGGAAAGCGACCCACTCAATATCTTTCCTGAATGTTGGGGAACATGTAGGGGTGATTCATGTGGAGGTTCATATTGAATGATATTGTAATGGTGTTAGACTAATACATTCATCCCTGTGATTTATGAGGCAGTCTGTCAGCTGATTAATTTAAATAATGGCAGATTTCAAAGGCTCATACCACAATGAAGCATCGACTTTGTTGGTTGAACAAGTGGCAGTATTATTTGGAGGAAAGCAGCAAATTGGATTAAGACAGTTATTGATCTGGTTGTTTTTTTATTTTTCTGTCCCGCCAGGATTAAAGGGAAGATACATGAGACCAATCTGACGTATGAAGATTTCCCGACATCTAAGTACATGGGGCCCTTACAGTACACGATATGGAAGTCGCTTTTCCAAGATATCTCACCAGGTATGTGAACAAAACTGGAACAAATGTACATACAGTAAGCTAACTCATTAACATGTTTGATCTCTTCTGTTAAATCCGGGGGGGGGGGTTGTGTTTATACTCTTATGATGCGGTTGCACAGTTGCCAATTTAAACCACTAACAGTTGTTGTTTAGCCAGCTTTAGAGTGTGGTGGCACTTCAAATGTGGAAAAAGAATCAAACCATTCAGCTGTCTTTGTGGTATTTTATTTCTTGCAAGAAAGGTCAGTCAGCCTTACAGAGAGCGTACTGTCAGTAGAGTGAAAGACGTAGACCAGAGTTTGCGTTTCATATTTAAACACAGAGAGGAGAAAGGGGGGGTTAAGCTTGGCGATAATAAAAGGCGCATTCTGGAAGTTAGGGAGGGAATATCAGGATGTTCTCAGTTCAGCTGAAGTTGAAGGTCATACTGTTGGTGCACAACATCGCAACAAATCTTCTTGATAAGGACCTTTCCCAAGCTTAGATAAGAGGTGAAAGCCAGTAAATGGAAATAAACATTAGCAAGTAAGAATAACACAATGGTATTATTAAAGTCAGTAAGTGAGTTAAATACTTTTCTGTTGCAAGAGCTGCTGGTAGGAAGGTTTGTTTTGCCTTTGGACAGAGGAATTACAAAAGCTCTTTTCAGTATTTATGCTAAGCTAACTTTCTTCTTGCTTATTATTTAATTTAACGATCATATGAGAGATTGGTATCAGTCTTTTAATCTAATGCTACTATATATAAACAACCATATTTCTAAAATGTATTACTGCTCCTTTATTTGATTATCTAATGATCCTTCAGTAGCTGATGTCTGACTCAAAAACACAGAGTGCAGACAATGTTCTGACCTGAATTAGGATTGCTGGGATGCTTTTGGCTTTGTTTTGCCTCCTTGGATGAGAAATGGTGTTGGACCTGAAGGGCGGAGATGCCCCTCTGTGTTTGACAGCGCTGAGAGGAGCTCCACTCCCTCTGCCCTGCAGCCATCGCTCACTCAGAGGAGATTATTGAAAATAATGTTCGGAGGAATTTTTCACTCCCTCAATCACTTCTCCCATTTCTGCCTGCTGAGGGGAGGCCAGGCCGGGTTTTTGTTGGCCTCCCTTGACTGGCTGCCAAATGGAACAATTGGTTACGATCCATCACCAGCGGTTGCCAGGCACAAAATAAAGACATTCCTCCCATCATCTCTCATCACTCGCTGGCACTGATGGGTTAGTGGGAATAACTACCCGACACTGTCCTTTTTTTCCACCCCTCTCATGTTCAGCAGGAAAAATGGTTTCTCCACTGATGTGTGTCTGCCTGCAGGTTTCTCTGTACGACACAAAGAGGCACTCAGGTTATGAAATTTTAATGACTTGATTGTAACAAACACTGGATCTGTCATTGACAGGAGAAGGCATTGTCCTGTCCGCTGGCCGGGCGCCAGACATTTCACCTCCTTTTATCCCGGCTGATATAAATATAGATGAACTGAAAGAAATGTCTGAGAGCAAAGAGAACAAGCCGTTATTGTTCAGCCTGATATGGTTCCCTAATAAGCAGACATGGCTGCAGATAATCCTTTCCTAAAACCCCAAACTACACAGAGAAACAGCTCCTACGGGCCTGTGGAGCGAGTGGCTCCTCCCATCGCTGTAATTACTGCTTCACTGTATTGTTTGCACTCAGACTGTGGTCTGATATTGCTAAAATCAAGCTTCCCCATCAGACTCTGGGGAGCTTTTGACTTTGAATAGTCTAGTTCATGCATGAAGGTAAAAACTGATTGTAAAAAATGTATCCAATGCACTCGTTGCTCTTTAGTCTGAAATAAAAGTTGAGTAGCAGTTTGTGTGCACGGTATAATAACAAGCCATCAGAACTCTTTAACCACAGGGCATGGCTTTAATCACCTTATCTCACTCTGGCAGTGCTGATATTTTACATTATGTAATGTCTCCACCAGGTTATTTGTCTTCATGTGTCAGCTCATCCAAATTACAAAAAATATCTAGCAGTGTCTTGGCATTGAAATCCTGCTAAATACACAGACATACAGCTGCGAGAGCCGATTCAGCTATACGGAGACGATAGGTTGGGACGTGTCACGTGTGCCGGAGACGATAGGTTGGGACGTGTCACGTGTGCCGGAGACGATAGGTTGGGACGTGTCACGTGTGCCGGAGACGATAGGTTGGGACGTGTCACGTGTGCCGGATGTCGCCAATGACGTAATAGGAGCGAAAATTCTGGATCTGCTTTTTAGCACCCCCGTTTTTTGTTTTTTTTAGAGATGTGGGTACGGAGGAAAAGAGAGAGGGTTTTGTTTTCTGACACTTTGTGAGTTCCCTGACACACCGGGGACACATATCTATGTATAAAAGACATCAAAAAGTGCATTTTGCATAATAGGTCCCCTTTAAACAACTAAAACAGAGAGGAAATATTTTCTTAATACAAACATTATTCCGATGAAAACTGTCCACAGTATGGAGAGCTGGGGTTTGTTCCTCTACTATATAGCAAACAGGTTTCAAGCGTTTACCATGTAAATGTAATATCCAATTATAATTGTGTCTGCGGACCATTGTTGCTTGTTATCCCCTCTTGCTCTCTCCCCGTCTTTGCTGTCTCTCTCTAATGTCAAAACTGTCTAAGAAATGCCATAAAATAAATGTAAAAATAAATGTATCAGTGCTTCGGGCGCCACGAAAGAAATGTCATAAACCTCCACTGTGGTAATGGGATTTAAAATCTTTAAAAAAAGGACAGGTTGGTTGACTCGGCAAAATGTAATGGACACAAATAGTTTAGAGCAGGGGTTCCCAAAGTGGGGGTCGCGCCACCCCGAGTGGGGGTCGCGAGATGATTACAAAATAAAAATTGTAAATTAAAAAAATATATATATTTTTTTTTTATCAATTTAAAAAATATATATTATTAATAATAACGTGTGCATAGACATTTTCCAGGGGCCGACTGGCCATCTGTATAATTTCCCCGCAGTGAGGCTCCACCCGTTGACAATCCACTAGCGCAGTGTTTCTCAAACTTTTTCATACCAAGGACACTTAACCAATAAAAAAACACTCACGGAGCACCTAACTCCACAAATATCCAAAAACAATAGGCCTGCTTACCACTCCAACAGTACATAACAGCCTAATAATGACAGCTTAACCTTCTCTGTATCGCCTCGTTCACACAATAAATCAACAATACAACTACAGATCATAAGCATTTTGTTCAAATGCGATTTAAAATGCTCTCAGGTTTTACACCTCTTATGAAATGTAGACTACATTTATTACGGAGTTTATGTCCGAGACAACAGACTACTGAGAGATATGCAAAACACACCGCATGTAGTATGACACAAACCTCCGCTGTTTTCTAAACAAAATACAGTAAAACTACTGTATGGTCGCAGGCCCAAGTTTAACTCTCTGAGGCCTGCATGGTCTCCTACAAAACAAAAATAAAAAAACGTTTATGCAGCCCCAACAACAGCCTCTGATCATCAACAGACCGGGGTCGCCAGTCTCTGGCACCGTTATTTTGGGGGTCGCAGGCTGAAAAGTTTGGGAACCCCTGGTTTAGAGGGTTGATAAGGAATCAGCATTATCGAAATAATAATATTTCCCAATGTAGTCCTTGTGGATTGTTTTTTGATCAAATAGAAGTGCATCTGTTCCATGAGTCAGCAAAGTAAAGGACGCCAATTACACTTTCTGTGTGGATCACCCTTAAAGGCAGAAACACGTACTTTTCAGTGCCCTCCTGGACAAAACATAACATTTTCAGTATGTATTTTCCAACCAGACGTACATTTGTTTTTAATCTGCGGCCTGTGATAAAACCTCCTCAGTGTGAGTGTCTCAAATATCAGTTCATAAACTTGACCTTACCTCTCCTGTAAAGTGCCTGAGCAGCCTGGATATATTTACTCACTACCTCAGCATAACACTGTTCACACAGCGTTTGCAATGATAAAGAAAAATGAGGCTCTAAGAATAACACTGCAGTTCTCGCTTTTCTGTTTGTCCAAGCTGAGTCATAACATATCGATGTGTTTGCTTTGTTTTTTTCATACTTACTTATTACCACGACTGTCCTGTTTGTCTGGGCTGTTATCTCCCGTAACTGAATATGAAATTGTCGTGTCAAATTATCATATAATCATTTAAAACATATAGTCTTATACTCTGATTGCCTTTTAAACAATTGTATTTTTAGTCTTGTATGTCTTTAACAGAGACATGTGTTAAGGATTTACATTTCAGGAGGGCTAAAGGAAGTGTAAAAGAGGGATATGCAAATGTCAAGGACAAGGGAGTTTTATAGTTTAATGGTGGGGTGTAGGACCAGTTGGCTGATTCCTTTCATGAGTATATAGTATAAGCTGTGTTCGGGGTGCAGAACTTATTTTTCCCTCTGAGAATGAAGTTGCTCTGTTCCTGCATCTGAGATCGATTTCACTTGTATATGGACTTTCTTTATTACTTTATTAAATATAACAAAAGACAATCTTTGTCCATTAATCATTTATCAGGTCACCTATTATGCAACATCCACTTTTTCATGTCTTTTGTACATAAACATGTGTCCCCTCTGTGTAAAGAGAATCTGAGAGTTTCAGGAAGAAATATTCGCTCACTTTTTGTCCTGATCCATTTATATAAAAACCTGTCTGAAAATGAGCTGATCAGATTTTGGCCACTTTATGATGTCATAACGATTTTTTGGCTTGTGTAACCATTAGCCAATAACCAACCAAGGTAACACCCCCCCACCTTATCACCTGCATCTCCTCCTAGAGCACCATTGTGTTCTTTTCAACCAAATATCTCCGAGGGGCTTGGGGAGTGGCTCCTTATTTTCATCTAAAGTAACAGACAGAGAATCAGCACTTCTGAAACAGAGGGGATTATGGGATGCTACAATGCATGATCTGTTTGGTATTTCTAGCCAAACACTTCGGAGACATGTTTTGTATATATCTGAGACCTATAATATATTGATGAAAAACAGTATAATAGGGGACCTTTAAGAATTTCCTCCACAGAAATAAATGCAGATTCTTGGTGCTAAAACTATCTCTCCTATTCTCTTGTCCTCCTCAGTGCCAGCAGCGTTGACCCTCGACCCGATCACAGCCCACCAAAGACTGATCCTCTCAGACGACTGTACCATAGTGGCCTACGGGAACCTCCACCCGCAGCCCCTGCAGGACTCCCCGCGGCGCTTTGACGTTGAGGTGTCCGTTTTGGGCGCAGAAGGCTTCGTGTCGGGGGTGCACTACTGGGAGGTGATGGTGTCGGAGAAGACCCAGTGGATGATCGGCGTGGCTCACGAGACAGTCAGCCGCAAGGGCAGCATCCAGATCCAGCCCAGCCGCGGCTTCTACTGCATCGTCATGCACGACGGCAACCAGTACAGCGCCTGCACCGAGCCGTGGACCCGCCTCAACGTCAAGAGCAAGCTGGAGAAAGTGGGGGTGTACCTGGACTACCACAAAGGCCTGCTCATCTTCTACAATGCAGACGACATGTCCTGGCTCTACACCTACCGGGAGAAATTCCCCGCCAAGGTCTTCCCCTACTTCAGCCCGGGCCAGAGCCACGCCAACGGCAAGAACGTGCAGCCGCTGCGCATCAACACTGTGCGCCTCTAAGAGCTGACGCATCTGTGGTCCTGAGAGATCATTCACAGGACTTGTGGAGGTTTCAAAAAGATATTCAGTTTTAAAAAGTGTTTAATAAGGTGTTTGAAATGTTTTTTTCTTTCAGTTCAGTTCAGAGTTGTGCTCGATGTTGCTCTTAAAGTCCTGCGCTGTTATTTTTGTGTCACTTGAAACGATAATGGCCTGCACTTGAGCCTCTTTTACGCATCTTTGATTGAAAAGATAACATTAGAAGAAGACAGGCGGACCCCCGGGCTCCTCTGGGGTCTGTGTATGTACAAAAAGAAAGTGATTAAAGCCCCCAGGCCCACCTTGCACACTCCCAGGGGGCAACGCTCTCCTTACGTCCCCTTGCTGTCCAGGGCGAGGACACTGAAGACTGGTCACTTGTCTTCTCTGTGCTGTACAGTCGGCTTAGCTTTGTGTGTGGAATGTGATCGACAGCACTCGGCTCCTTTTCGTTTGTCCAGCAGTCCACCATGAACTTCTAAAGTCTGTTCGCACTTTTTACCCCCTGTCTGAGACCGGGGTCTTGGTTCCTCCACACAGGTGTCTATTCTTTATTATTGCGAGGAAAGCTCTTGTTCTCCTTTCACAAGTCATCCAGCCATTATCCGTCACAAATAACAAAGTAGTATTTGTTCGGCTGCCCGTACCTTGCCCAGTGGGAAAAAACGTAAAGTAAATACGTGCATGTTTGTATATAGAGTATCACGGTTTAAAAAAAAAGGAAGTCTCTCATCATGCTGGCTCACGTTTCAGTTTCTGCTCTTCAACCACAAGTATGCTAGCCAACAGCATACACTGGCATATGTGTGGGGTTTTTAAATTCAAGTACATTTAGATTATTAGTCATGATGTTTTGCTCATTTTCTCTCAAAACCTAAAGAATATGAAATCATACCATCTGAGTAAACAGCCCGGTGAGACTGGAATCTCTACTTGTTAAAGCATAACTTGTCTGATGTGGAAACCTAAAGGGTTCAAGATGAAGTATAACTCACAGATTATACAAACACCACTGATCTATCTTATTTAAGATCATAACATTTTAATTAAATGAAGCTGAATGTTTTTGAGAAATGGTCCATATCAAGGGAAATTATAAAGGATGCACTAAAATGCTATTCCTGTGTGACTGGAAGAAAATGTGTTATAATTCCCCTGAGACCCTGTTTATATCTTCGCCTCATGTGCCTCAAGTATTATTTATCATTAGCTGTACACAAGTCCTGCAGTATCAGCTCTTAAGAGGCTCTGGTCGCTCAGCCAAGTCCAGCATACTGAGAGACGTGTCTGTGGGTGGGGGGGGGGGGGGGGGGGGGGGCGGGCGGGCATGTGCACGGGTTTGTTGGTTCAGCTATAATTTTAAATCCAGCGTTGGTTGTGCTTGATAAATCCCATCTGGCCCTCTGAGCACACCCATGCAGTGGCTAAGAGTGATTATTATGACATACTTGGGTAATTGGGTAACACTTTTATAGATCTACACTACCATTAGAATAACAAACACTATCAAATCACCTCACTTTCCCTTTGCCGCTGTACATCTAAGCATTGTTGTGTGTGTGTTGTCTGTGTTGTCCATTTAAAATAAGATGGGGGCAGTGCCCTTGTTTTTCTAGGATGTGATTCCTGTACGCGCAGTATGATGCAAACTAGGGTCAAATGGTGATCATCTGAAAATGATTTATGGTATTTGTTTTAACTTGCAGTGATCTACAGGAGCATGTTTCAAGAAGCAGTCGCACTTGGGTAAATAAAACCTGCAACAGTTTGTTTTCTGGGATTTACTCAGCAAGAGGATCCATGTAGTTATGTGTGAAGATATTTCCAAGGTTTAAACATTCAGGAGAGTGTTGAGTAATGTTACTTCTCTCTTATGTATTCTACCTGAGAGGTAGATTCCAACCAGCTGGTGCTTCAGAGAAAAACACTTACATTTGACCCTGGTTTGCTAAGCTGCAGACTTCAGTGGAGTCTGCTCCACGTCCTGTTTGAATATTCAGAAGGAGATTATTGTGAGGTGGTGTTGGGTTACTGGTGGTGGTGACGCTTAATGTTCAAAATGATTTATGATGATAACTATGACACTTTTACTGATTATAATGATGATTGTGTCTTTGATGGTGGCCTCTTTGAACCCATCCTTGTGTGAACGCTCTTAAGTGTTCTTCAGCCGCAGCTGAGGTTTGTGGGAAATGTTTTAATGTCAAATAAATGACTGCTAAAATAAGCCAGTTATCTTTGTCCTGGTTTCGATGAGCATCAATGCAGAGGCCTTAGATTGTCAAATAAGATTTTAAAAATCTGTACGCTACTCTGTTGAACTTATTGGATTCATTTTTTTCAGGTAACATGATCCAGAAGTAGCTGTGGCACTAAAAAATGTGTCTGCCGCCGAAGGTCCAATGTACCAGATCGCTGTGTATCTAGGTACAAGCTAGGTCTGAGGGTTCACTGGAGGATTACCAATTGAAGATGAACAAAATGTATTTGACCCATGAAATATATGTTGCTTTTTTTAGACTCATCTCACACTATTTGCTTTTTTAGTCCTAGCCATCCTAGTTGGAGTGCATTAGTTCATTAACAGAGGTCAAGCTTCAAGTCGAGACCTCGATTCAAGTCAGAAACTTTACAACATTTAAAAAAAGACTTGCAACTCGGCTTGGCAGGTGACTTCACTTTTACATGAGCCTTTATTTGAAAATACTTAATTCTTACTCTTCCCACATAACTTTCCCTCATCCAAAACATTAAAAAGTGTGTTATGTAAAAAGTGTATCACAAAGTTATAAATGTACCCTCATCGGTGACCGGTGGCCCTAGATGAAGTCAGTTGATCCCCAAAGGACCTATCTGGGTATCATACATGTCTGTACAAACTTAACATGTTCCATTTTAAAGAGTCACAGGCAGCTATAGAGAACATCCATGTCAAATCGCTTTAATACTGACACTGGCGTAATTCTTTAGTCAGTGAGTCAACATAATCTATCACATTACTTTTGAGAGCAAGAAAAAAAGCTAGTTGAAATTGAAACTCTGAAAATGAAACATATCTGGGAGGCAGACAAACACTCTTTGAAATGTAGGAAGGCTTTGCCTCAGCTTGTTGATACCTGCTGCAGTTCACAAGAGTTTCATGCCACGCATTTTAGTTGAGATGTGCCAAACTCTCAGCCCTGCTAAGCCATCCAGCTGGGAGGTGGGAGGTTGTGCACTCTTTTTATTACTGTTCCCTATTTTGGCATAGGCTGCGGCCATGTGACATGATGAATAACAAGATGTGTGCATGGGCTCAGTGTTCCCTCTCTGCGGGTGAGCCGCCGCTTTCAATAGGGCCCCCTTCAATTGCCATCTGTGATGCGTTTGAATGACTGGTTGTTAAACTGGTGGGAATTAATAATCATACAGTTTAAAATCAAGATGGAGAGTTAACATCTGAGTCATACACTGCGTCAAAAACCCAGAAAAGGTTTTGTTTTTTTGTAACTTTGGGCCCTGCTGCCTTATTATTCCACTCTGAAGTTGAGTCTTGTTGCATCATGATTACAGCTGTTCCACAGCACACTGTGCAGTTTGAAGCAGAGTGCCGATTATTCACAGCAGAGCAGACCCTCAGGACAACAGGCTTCATATGCTCAGCTTTCATACAGGGTACTTTTCTTCCCTCACTGCAGTGATTTAGACATTTATATCCGAGGAGAAGGTGTCCATCCTGCAATAGACATTTTCACCCGAGGGGAAAGTGTCCATTAAAAAGTCACCGAGCTCTCCTTTGAGAGACCCGTATCTGATTCCAGTCTGATGTGGCCCTCCTGAGGCATAACTGCAAGGTTTTTAATCTTGTAAAGGATGAAATAAATATATATATATACAGCACACTTAGGCTATCACCTGATGTTAAAGAAAAAGAACTGCAGCCAATTAAAATCACTGTTAAAATACTTAGCGTAGAATGATGTATGAAGTTAAAGCTTGCTAATGATTAAATGGTTACAAAAACATTTGATGTGCTAAAATAACGAGTTGGTTTATTGAAAAATTAAGAGGCACAACCATAATTAACAACTGCTTTTTTTACAGCTTGTCAAATGTGAGAATTTCCTGCTTTTTCTGTCTTTTATACTATTGAAAAGATAATAAGGTTTTTGACTGTTTCTGAGATTGAACAGATTAATTAAGAATAAATATATTTAATAGTTGCAGCCCTACACTTTCTATTGCCCTGGCGGATGTACAGTATTTTGAAAATATAGTGGCATTGTCAAATTGCACTTCTCTTTTTCATCCTTTCATACATTATTTGTAGGCTACATAATTCAAAATGTTGGATTAATTACAGGATTATCTACATCTTTAGGTTACATTTTTCAGTCTGCTGTATGGTACGTACAGTATTGGCTTTTTCTGCTTTGCAATTTCAGGATCTCAGGGTAATGCAGTAAACCACATGTGGGTGTTCAGTTAAAGCAAGAAACACAATTTGCAAGATATTGATCTCAACTCTTGCATCCTCTTAATATTACTCATCACATTAATATGATTAAAACATATATCCTCAAAGATACAAACTCCTTGCACTTATAACCTTTTGTCTTGAGTGTGCATTCATTTTCCTGTGTATACATATTGTGTTTTAACACTATCTCTATCCGTCCTCAAATAGCATGATCACACACGCATTAAGCATCTTCTTGTTTAGTCATGCTAGAGACAGTGAGTGCTGCGGTTTCAGTATTTGTCTGCACACGTCTCCGCACTTTGAAACAAGAGACGCAGGTCTATTACTCTGCCCTGAGGCTTCGTCACAGGTAAGTCAACCTTAAAAAGCCCTCTTTTGTTTCCTGAATCTCCTTCATCGGCTCCTGTTACGTCCCAGAGTTCATCCATAAAGCATTTTAGGAGTTTAAATGTTCGCTCAGGAGTGCCCTCTGGTGTTGACATGTAGCTCTCATTCACACTAAACAAGACACAGCGTAGACATATATTGTGAGTACAATGCAGCTGTCTAAGAGGAGTTTCTACAATTACACGCTATCTTTTGCTACGGTTAAATAAAAGATACCACTTATGTCTTTCTGTCATTGTGCTTTGGTTGCTCGCCATGAACACTGGGCTCTGTTCAAAGTGAACGAGACTGGTGAAGTTAGTTTCGGGTTGGATATTTGACAGACGTCCCCCCAAGTCCTCTTCTTCAGTTTCACAAACAGCATCCGTGGCCTTCCTGTTAACTACAGTGGTTTCACTTAGGTACCATCAATAAATTACCCTGGCTATGAATGACACAAAACGAATGTGGTTTTCAAAACATATCCTAAAATGTATATAATAAATGTGTCCAGAATTGTTTTCAATAGCTTCTACAGTATGTTTTGCGTATTTTAGTGCTTCTATTTTATATGATTACTTTTTTTTAATTCAGCAATTTCTTTAATGAAAAGTCTGGGTTTCTTTTCAGTAGCTTCCATATCATCCAACCTTGTAACTCCTTATCAATGCAGCATATCATCACTCACTACACTGAATGGTTCAGTGATTTTTTTTCTTTTGTGTATGAATATTGTTGTGAAAATTCTGCAGTTTTCCAAATGAATGCAGAATTGTATTACTGCACTGTAAATAAAGTAGGACACATCACATACAATGTTAGTGCTTTTTCTATTATATATAAATTCTTAAAATGCTAAACTAAGCTAACCAGCTTAATGTTGAATGAGACACAAGAGGGTTATGTCATCTTCTCCTCTAACTCTCAGTAAGATTGGAGAAACTATATTTTTTTAAATGTCAAATTTTCCCTTTGACTAAAAGTATTTTGTTGTTGCAGAGTAGGATCTAGTTTTAAGTACTTTTTAAATTCAAGTTAAGTCCAGTCAGTGGCTCTCAAACTATTGTATATTTGGCTTTTGGTCCACTAAAGAATCACAAGAACTGTCTTGAGATGATTTTTTGACTTTTCACGAAACTAGGTTGACCTCTTTTTGACCCTCAAGTGGATATTTAAATGAAACTATCTGAGAGGTTCACAGAAGTAACCTCTCTTTGGAGGAACTGTTAACAACTAAGGTAACTAAATGTTGTGTTTAACAGAGATGTGCTCATTACTGTTTAAAATAGGTAATTCAGCATTAAAAAATTGCCTAATTGACTAAGCAAGTCAAGTAATCGGCAACAAAAGATCCATAAAGGTGTTTTTTATATATTTTTGTAGCATAGTAGTTGCCTAAGTTGTTACTGATGATTTCTTAAAACACAACAAGGGGCCTAAAAACATTGTGTTTTGGCACAGGCCAACAGTAGTTTTTTTATTGGTACGTTATATGATTTCTTTGGTATGTCATATGGAAGGCCATGCCAGACGATTTACAAACTGAGACCAAACTAAAAAGAAGAAGAAACAACATCTGTGTTACACCCTCAAGTCCTTCAGTATTTATTTATACATTGCTTTATGTAGGGTTTAAATGATGCAGCTTCAGAACACTTAATGTTACTACTTTCAAAATGCTGTTTGCCCCAGGATTAGACTTATTTATGCAGGAGAGGCTCATTCTACAACCCATTGTGTAATGACAAATCACCGCAGATCTTAAGGCTCTGCACAGTAAAAAACAGGCCTTCCAGCCATCTATTTAGTGTCTTACTGCAAGCACGCCTCAACCTGCCTCCTCATCACCTTTCAGCAGTTTCCACATATTATTCCTCACATGTGAATAGCTGCTCCGAAATTCTTATTTACACTTTATTCAAACCGGTGTCGACAGGTAGACCTGCTGTCAGCACACATGCAATATTAATCTGGTGATCCTGTTGCAAACAGCCACCACTTTTTCTTCTCATCCGTCGGTTTTATACAATTGTTTCATGTAAGAGCTGTTGCTTGTTTGCTGCAAATGAAACTAAAGATGTGATAGTAAGCCCCAGTAGAGTCTCTATAGTCCTGATCACTAGAATGTTCATACTCAGGTAAAGAGGCAGCACAAAAATGGAGAGCACAGCCAGGAAACCTATCATTACATTCACCCCTGGGCAGGGAAAACCCCTCTGTCGCCACCCACTCTGGCTCCTGTATTGTGAGTCCACATGTTCCTCAAGGGGAAATGCACAAGGTGTACCTCTCTTTGTCCTCTCATGCTTCTGTCCTCTCTCTACAGACAAGCACTCAGGGGAGATGAGGACAAAGTCTCCATGGTGATACGCCGACATCTGCACGCTGTTCCAGGAATACGCTCTGTGAACAGTGCAGCTGCTCTCTGTTTTCTCTGGGTCAACACACTGTTCTGGCTCCAACCCCACCATCCCAGGGTTCACAGGCCTGGAGGGGGAAGACAGTGTTGGAACAGGGTCTTTACAGCAACTGTCGCCATTGTTGTTAACTCCCGATTTCTCTCTGTGTGTCTGTGCAGGGGCCAGGTTTCGTCTGATCAGGCCCAGGCTCTTGGTCAGGACGATCAGGAGGAAGAAGAGGAAGGCCATGCCCCAGCGGGGATTCACGCTGCTTGGCATGTGGCTGAACATGTTGGGCAAACATCTGACAAGGGAGTTGGTTGAGTGCAAACAGGCAACTGCCCTCACTTCCTCCTGCTTCCATCGCAAACTGACATTGAAGGCGACAGCGACCCACACTGACAGGCAGCAGAGGTAGCTGACAACATGAGACCAGCGCTTTTCTGTGTCTTCACTGTCTTTGTTGACCTCCTCCTCTTCCACATTTACCTCAATAACAAAGCAAAGCTTTTCGATAGAGTCCACTTTAGGACAGGCCTTCCGGATAGTGACAACAGAGTGAGGCCGCGGCAGTCTGGTCACACTCTCCACTGCGATCAGAGGTGTGATCAGGAGCAGCACTGCACCGTATGTTTCGCTGAGGAAGATCAGGAAGCGCAGGGCAATGACGTCGCCAAGTAGGGTCAGCTCAGAGACCCAAGACTCAAAGAGCCAAAGGAAACTCAGAAAAACTGTAGGAGAACAAAATAAAGGGGTCAATCAGTCAGGTCACTGTAGAGCAGTATGTGGAAAGATGGTGGAGCAGATAACTAATTTAAAAGAAGAAAACAATATTATTAGAAAGATCCTCTGAAGACGTGTTTTACAACATCTGCCTGGATTATTCATTTGTGTCTTAATTAGTGTAACAATAAAACTATTTTGTTCATTATTAAACAGGTCAAATGAAATGAAATCCTAAAAGTTGATGGCTGAGCAAGTTTGTTTCAACAAGTTGTTTCATCTGTATTGTTTTTAATGAGAAAACAACACTTTGAGATATTTCAGGCGTTAAAAAACATTAAACCCTTTTGATACAGCTATGGGAGAGCAGTATACTGGGAAACACTGGACTGACGCTCACCTGTGACCAGGAAGTCGGTGAAGAGCAGGAGGCAGCAGCAGCAGAAGCTGGCGGGACTGTAGGAGGAAGTCAGCGATGGCAGGAAGAGCAGACTGCAGGCCAGTTTACACACACATAACACCGTCGCTCCTTCCAACACACCATCCATGGCTGCAAACACAACACATACATGGGTTAAATGTAACGAAACACTGGTTTTCTTTCTGCCTCAGGGTGGAGAAGCTCAGGAATTCCCAGCACTCTGCTGTCAGTAAACCCCCCATCAATGTTAATATGTATCTGTATGTAATGTTTTTACATGATCCTTCCACTGTCAGGGAATCTTTCTGACGTGGTTGCAGATCAATATTTTCTTGTTTACATTAGTAGTGAACTACGGACCAGATACACCAGTTACAGACGTTGAAAAATGAGGAAACTCAGAATGAAGCTCAACTGATGTCAACATACTTAAAATGATTGTAAAAAAGTGATGTTAAACACTAGCAATGAATAAACACATGCCATGAGACTACTCAGTAATGTGAACACATGCAAATGTACTGACAGACTTTGTTGTTGTGACTTGACTGTAAACATAACCACCTCCAGACCATGATACTGTTCAATCAGACTTGTTAAACCTGTAGAACATAATCTCTTATCACATGTTTACAGAATGAACAGTCAAACTACAGGTAACCCAAAACTAAGAGTCTGCTTTAAAAGTGCGGAAAAGTTCATTAGTTCTTACCTGTACTCACAGGAGCCTTCAGAGCAACATGTCAGTATGAGCTTCAAATGTTTCATCCTTCTCTTCACCTCTCTTTTTGCTCCGCCCTCATGGGGATAATGACCTCCCCCCGCCCCCCCCCCCCCCCCCCCCCCCCCCCCCCCCCTCACCTCCTGTGCTCCCTGCTGCACCTGGCCTGGGTAGAGGTGACAGTGTCTCAGAGAGGGTGTGGCACAGTTTGTGTAAGTAAGAAAACCTGTCTAACAACTGATTAAGTCACTAACTAACTGACAGTGAGAGATAAAAAGTGTGTGACATAAGTTAAAGTATTGGACAAAAGATAGTTCATGCAAACAATTCTGTTACACCTTGTTCAAACTACAGTATTTAGTTTCAAAGGTTACAGCATGCAGGTTGTTTCATTCAGCAGTTTTGGACTGTAGATCACATAACACATCACAAAATGATTCATTCATGCTTTAAATATGTTACATTTAAACCTCAGACCCTATTAATATGCTGTTCCACCTTATTTATGAATCATGGACGACAGTGGTTGCTTTAGTTTCCATTATGGACGGGGAGGGTGGTCATGTTTAACAAACAGACTAGAGTTGCATCATACATTATGTATCTACAAAAAAAAACTGCCTCATTTTCTGTTCTCGGATTAAAAGTCATAAAACATTTGGATTTAGTTGTACTTCATGTTCGAACCAATCTTGGAAATAAAACTGGTATAAAGCGCTATTCTCGTCACGGATGGAATAAGATGCAAAAAACGTGAAAAGATGAAGTTGTTATTCCCTATTTGATGACTTGAAAACATGACACCCAAAAAGTTCACCCTTGACCTTGTAAACAGCGATCACAAACACCATAAGGTCAATTAAACAGCCGTTCTGGATCTTTTGATCATATCGCATGATTTGTTAGGGTATGGGCGTTGGCCAAATTGTCATGAAATTGTAATTTTCAGAGACATTTGAGGACATCTCATTCACTTTGGCTTTAAAGCTGAGTTTTCATCCTTGATAAGTGTGATATGATGGATTAAAAGCCCCAAAACAGCCCCTCAATGGACCTTGTGCTGTTTCCGAGGTCGAGAAAGGAGACGAGGATTGTGTGACACAATCAAAATATCTTGAAAAGCTTTGAAATTGACCTGCTCATGAGACTGGTTTTAAAAATCAGGAGGCCATTAGACCCGTCTGTTTGTGATCCACTGATACAAAGAAGAGGTTTGGAAACCACATTTAGTTATCAGGTTTTACGTTTATTTATTTGACTGAGTCACAGTATGTACACGGGATTTTTTGCAAAGCAGAGTCAGATGAAGCTCAAATAAAGTTTAAGTTCATAAAATGCTCTATTAAAATGTTTACATTTCGAATAGTGAAAAGTGTATGTATATAAAGCATATTAATTGTGTTATGTCTGTGGAGGCGATGTGACAGTTTTGTAAATAAAGAGCCCCTTATTATAAGCAGGGGTCATTTACATGTTGAAAATCAATCGAAAACATACTAAAGTGAATGTTAACTGCTTGTATTTAGCTTTGGTGGATGTAATAATAACATTAGATAGGTCTATCTCTCTAATTATCCTCTTTCGTATCCCCAGTCAAAGCTGTGCGATGGAAACCTGTGGAGATTTGCATTTCATTATGAACATGAGAAGAAACATTTGAATGTGTGTGTGTTACTTTGTGTGTGTGCAAACACCATGTAAGGTCAAGATGATGCAGGTAAGAAAGCAGCCAAATGTGCAGGGTGCAGAGTGGACTAAAGGTGGAATTGAATGTTCCTCAATACTTATAAATGACGGAAACAGTTTCAGTTTTTTATGCTGACATATTTATGACAATTAAAAATGGTCATGTGACTGCTCAGTTGGCAGTTTATATGCATAGTATATATTTAAAACAGGAATATCATGAACAACTCACTTTTGCTGTTCTTGTGCACCATGTGGGCAGCCGATCTGGAGTGCCTATCAAGCCACACTGTAAAATTACAAATGTTGTCAGTTTTTTGGTGGCAACCTTAGTTAGAAAAGATTTAGAAAGCCATTTGAATTGCCCCCCTTCCTATGTTATATGCAGGCTCATTAACATGTACCGCCCCCAGACTCCTCTTACAGCCTGAGAACCAGAGCAAAGTTGTGCCATATGTTTCTCAAAAGCAAATAAGAGCAGAATAGGCTTTTTCCAACATAAATACAGGTGTATTAAGATAAACAGTATGATAAAATAACATGTTTTTGTAACTTTACAGCATGTAAATATGTTCTAGTATGAACCAAAATATGGGTATAAACCCGAAAATGAGCAAAATATCTCCCCTTTAATGTTTTGGTTTTTATTCTTTATAGAGCTGTTCTATTCAACTTTGTATTCATGTTGGTGATGCAAACTTGTAAAGTGTTTCCTAAAAATTCTCAGCACAATGTATACTTACTTGAACAGTTGCATTCAGCTTTGAGCGTGACATACTGTACACAATGCGGTGTTTCTAATAGGATATGCATCCTTATTGATACAAATGAGTTGGATAACATATTACATCTACATCACCACCAGGCAAGTATTTTGAATACGAGATAATCTGAGAGCCTGCCGACATAAAAACACTTCACCAGCATGTGTGTTAAGTAATGTCTCATCTTCACATGTAAAGTGATGGCTCATCATATTTATCTCCTCACACTTTCATCCATGAGGCAACATGATCGCTGTTCCTCTCCAGCTTGTGGCAGCAGTGCCATCTCCTGCTGAGCTAAGCACAGAGCATATTAGCAGCCTGTCATGCTGCTGCTGAGCGGATTACACTTCATATTTAGCCTTCTCTACATTACAGTCCTGACCTGGCACACACATACACACTGAAAAATGAAAAAACAGAAGGCTGATTGATAGTAAGAAATACGGGCAAATCAATAAGTCAGTCAAAATGCAGCTTTCAAAGCACCAGTCATTCCCTTTCAGTTTTGACCTAGAATGCCCCCCACTTTTTTGAATCACACTGCTCATTTGATCAACTGCGTCTGAGCAAAGCTGTCATCAAATCAGCATAAAAAGAGGTCAATATAAACCTGTCATTAGAGAGAAGATGGGCCTTTATTTACCCCAGTAGGGACATTCAGGAGTTGAATTATCATCTGCTTTACACTGCTGGAGTAAGATCACATATTTTCTGCTCTGACTTTCATACAGATCTTGAAATACATGCAACATTATTCTCATTAGAATATTCACTATACTGGAGTTTATTCGTTTGTACAGCAGCCTTATCTGTGTTTATTTGAGAATATTGTTGGTGATGATGCACAAGAGACAGCAAGCTTCAATAACTGTACCTGCACTGTGAAAACCTGAACTCTTGCCAAGTCAGTTTGTATCATTTCTAGTCAGAATGTCTTTACACTTGATATAAGACATAATAACTTAAGAACAATGCAGTGAGGCTTGTTTTTAGACAATGCATCTTATGTATCTTTTTAAGTCAAACACTGAAAATAATTTATTTAGATTTGTATCTCAGATGAAACAAGTTTTTTAAGCTGCTATGGTATTTGTAAACGATGGATCATCTTGTTTCAAGAAAGAAATCTTACTTGATTTTAGAAAACACATTTTTATTGGACAATCGCCAACAGAAAGCTTTGGAGCATTTCTGGTTTATTTTGTAACACAAGATTTCCTGATTTTCCCCAGCTAATTACAATATATATGTATCTAAATATCCCAAACTAATCTCAATAAATCTTACCAAGCTATTTCTCACTTGTTCTATTGGCAGATTTGTTTACTTATTCCAAGCGAAAACACCTTGTGTTTATTCATCTTTTACTTGATTTTAGAGCAGCATCTTTTACAATGTGTGCCTTTTTGTGCAGTCTGTGACGCATGTGAGTTGCATTTTATGTATAAAAGGTGCTATATAAATGAAATCTAGACATGTTAATATTAGGCTGACTGTAGTCTACAGGAAAAATATGATCAATATAAACTACCCACGCATTTGCACGAGTTTATCTAACGCGACCACAACATCTGCAAGAAACTAACCAGCGTTAAAATAGAAACACGAAAATGGGTTGAAAAAAATCAGTTTCAGCTCAGTGTTGTGAGACGCCTGCAGCACCCAGAAGTGAACAGCAGGCGACCCGGAAGGTTTGAAGTCCGACTGAGAGCAGGCAGAAAGAAGAGTCTAATCCTTTATAAAACATTTCTTCCCTCGCTGGTTCAGGTATGTTGGCCGCTCGATGCAAATGCTCTGCCTCTTTTTATTTTTGCTCTTATCTCTCGCACACAGCTCTCCATGTGTGGCTTTGTCACCGTTTCTGCTCAAGTCGTGCAAAAGTTGTATTAAAAAAACAGCATTTGCACCGATAAAGACTGATTTCTTCTCTTCTGTCGTGCAAATAACAGCTTTCATTACGCGCCAGAATCTACATCGACATTTGGGTTTGTGGCTCAGCAGCTGCAGAGCATTCAGCGAAGGCATGATGATTGTTGTAGGAAGTGTCAGGATCTTTTTTTTTTCTCCTCCTCAAGCCGGGCTATTCAAACCTGCAAATCAAAGTAAACAATCATTCGTACGCTTAATGCAAATACGCCACACGCCGACGCATCACAACAGCGCGTAATTAGGCCTAGATCTGGAGGAATTATCTCCTTATTACATTCGGATCTGCAGAATATGGCGTCCAGTGCTTATAAAAATAAGACAGGGCTGCCATTTTTGTTTTCCTTTTGTCTGAAATTTTTTAATAAACTGTCTGAGAATGTGGGAGAGGCGAAGGGAGCGAGGCGCTGCGGAGGATCGTTTCTCTGGAGGAGATGCTCTCGTTACAAGCTGCTCGGGTTTTTAGATGCAAACATTAGATTCTGTTTCTTTGGCTTAATTCAGCACAGCATGTACAGAAACGGAGCAAAAGTTAACCCTAACTTTAGTTCCTGGGATTGCATTTCTCTCTAGAGGTGCTCTAACTGTTTATTACACTGATGCTATTTGCAAAGGACTACATGCACGTGTTTGTGGTAACACTTGACATATGACCATCTGCAGAATTATTTTATATTTAGATTCCTCTACTAGTTTAATTATACAGACACACAGC